ATTAGAGCAGACTCTAGGGCAGTAATGACGAACCTCTGGAGTGCATATGGCAGCCGGCTGCTTGTTATCACTGAAAACTCTAAAACGTTCACCACCATCACTGGTCTAGGTCAGTATGACCGATGTGCTTATAAAGGGGAAATTCGGACCCATACAACACATAGGGAGAACACTGTGACAGAGGAAGGCAGAGGTCAGGGCAATGCTTTCTCAAGCGGAGAACTGACAGATGTAGCCAGCATGCCATCAGGAACGTGGAGACAGGCACTTCCTCCAGCCTGAGAAGAAACCAAGCCCACATACACCTTGATCTCAGACTTTTAGGTACAGAAGTACAAGACAGTACATTTCTGAATTTCTAAAGCCACCCAACGTGGAGCACTTTGTTGCCCTAGTGAAATAATATAGTCTCTATGGTGGATAAAAGAACTAAAGAGGGCTCCACTGTCTGTTAAACCTTGCCAATACCCTTGAAACTTAGGGGAACACAATCCATTGAAAATATCATCCAAAGGATTTCATGTAAAAAATATTAACAAAATTGATGATCCCACTTTTAAAAGTACTATTAGAAAAGAAAAGTTTACCCTCCTTAAGGACATGGCATACTTCATTGTTTTGCAGGTAATTATAACACTGTCGGCAGGTGTTGTTCTTGCACCCAGCACATCACTAGCAATCATCTTCACTTACTGGCCTTAATTCTCTAGCCATGTTTGAGTAATGTTTGTATTCCCTATCATGAGAAGTCTCTTTGTGAAAGTACTTGGGATATAAATAATTAATAAATAAATGAACACTTCTGATCACCTCAGTGAACTCCACCTATAGCAATGCTTTCATGAATTTGTCCCTCCTGCCATAGTGACCAGCTGTCTCACTGTGCTCATGGTAAGGGGTGTCCAAAGAAGAGGATCTTTTCTTCTAAAATTCATGATAGTCCTATAGACAGTAACCATATTCCCACTGTCAATACTTTGATCCCTGTTTGATATAATGCTGCCCTGAAAAACTCAGGTGTAATTATTCACCAGTTTGTTGGGTTTCTTTATGCAAAACATTTATTGATTCAACAGATTAATAATGATAATGCAAATAACTGACTTTTTAGTTTCATAAAACTCCCTTTTCATTCCTTCTACTGGAGCTTCATGTCCATCATGATTTCCTGTGAGAGAGGAGGCCTGCTGAGCCATTGAGCTATAGCCATTACGATAGATGTCACCAGCTGTTAGGAAGCCAGACTGTGTTGGCACGGGCTGTCCAGCCTGGCTGTCTTCACAAGTTAGTCTTTTCTTCTTTGCTTGTTTGCTCTGTGAATCTTTTTCTCTTTCCTCACAGGCACTAGTGACTTGTCTGGTCTTTGGTAACCAAACATTAAATGATTAAGATTGTGAGAGATAAATCAAAAGCTTGCTCCATTCACTTACCTGCACCATAAACTATCAGGAGACATGGTTCTTCTGCAGCACTGAGGAACACATGGTCAACTTTCTCCTTTTCCTCAAGGAATGAAAACTCATCTAAATTCATTATGATTCCCAAAATAATCTCTGTTTGGAAATAGACATAGTTGTTTAGCAGTTGTATTATAATAAAAGTCCACATTTCAGTCGAAATTAAATGCTTCCCTTTTCAGTAGTCAGCTTTCCCACTGCTGGACACAAGACACAACACCCATAACTTAAAAGAAGATTAAATTCTCAGCTCAAGGTTTTGGGGGATTAGTCCAGGACCAACTGGCTCAAGTGTGGAAAAGTCATGGCAGAAGGGCGGGACAGACCAAAGATACTGAGTGCTTGGCAACCAGGAAGCAGAGCTAGGGACAAGCGCCAGAGAGGAAGGCACCTGGGATTCTGTGTGACACCCAAAGTCACACCTTCACGGCCACCTATGCATACCTGTCGTACCCTCCTACAGCAAAGAGTTGTATGCACAGGGTTTACTGCTTTTGTCTTCAGTAATGATTTCCTCTCCAAGTCACAAGTATTATCAGAGGCTGCAAACTTGTCCATGCATGGAATATAAAAAAGGGAGAAGTGGTAAGAAAGTAGGAAAGCTATGTAGGTACTAACAGACTTTGGCAGGTGATGAAATAGACTCACAGCATTTCTGTGGGTTTTCCAGGGGTATTTAATTGTATTAAGTATCTCATTGGCAGGTATGCGACTTGGTTAATATGTCATCCACACTGACTCTATCACATTCCTCAGACCCTGGGAGTGTGTGACAGTAGTTGCCTCCATCGTTCTCCACCCACTGGTCATCTTGGAAACCATTGAGAAAACACATGTCTTAGCGCACCGTCACAATGGCCCACATCTGCTCCCAAGGATTATTACATTAGATCCATTATATGTAGCAATGCAGTTTCCTTTTAAACAGGGTGCCTACTTTTTGTTTGGCAACTTAGCAGGTAGTGTGCCAGCCACAGGATTTATTTTGAGACTTATCTGGCCTGAATCAGATACTCATTGCTCTGTCTCCTCAGTTCCAATGCGTGCTTGAAGCCCTTCTGAATAGGCTCAAGAAGAACGGAAATCCCCTCCTTCTCCCACTCACCACCATGAAGATGGTACTGTCCTCCAATGGACTCCTCCTTCCCATGTTCAAATTCCCTTTGGAGTTGAGTTAGCGTCTCAGCTCTACCTTTCATTTTCTCAATGTAAGTGGCTCAAGGCCACAAACATAATTTAAGATATGTTCTGTATGGGATCTCTGTAGTCAGTCTGGTACCTCGCTGTGCACTGTAGGTAGGTCATAATTGTAGTGTGGCCACAACTGTCCCTGAGATTGAGAGAGCTTCAGTTCTCACTGAGCCTCCCTTAGACTTCATCTTCTCTCATGACTTGCTGAGTAATAGAAAATGTTGGACACATTCCCTCTAATAGTTCTCTTCCAAATAGACCAGATTTGTTCATACGCTGTTGAGAGCTTCCTGTTGGGACCTGAGGCAACAAGCACTCTGCTTACAAAAGCTCAGCTTTAATGCCATGTACAGGTGTGTAGCACCCTCTACAACAAATTCCTCAAAGAGCAGTTGAGGCAGCATCTCAAACCTGAAAACTTTCCTGGTTCTTAGGAAATATCATGACCACACTCACTGCAGAAGTTGACAAGGCTGAATGGATATTCATTTGCTAAAATGAAACCTCCGCTCTGTATCCAGTTTCTGTATCTGTATCCAAACAAGTGCCATTTTATATAAGGTGCTCAAGCCTCCTTGGATTTGATGTATGCCGGGGTCGAAAGTCCTGGACCAATTTCTTGTGGATGCGTAGGGATGATGGCAGTAGGAAAGGAGAAATCCAACTAACATTATGTTGTATTACCCAGACACTTAGTTTTTTCCTTATTGAGTTATTATTGTTCCTTGTTATTAGTCTGTGCCTGCAGTATATAATGTCTGTGTTCCTTATGTGGAATTGGTGCACGTGCATAGCACAATTTAATTTCTTTTTTCAGCCTTTTCCCTCCCTCACCATTTCCTCTATCTCTTGATCTCCCTCCCATTTGAGAAAGATCTGTCGGCCTACTTCCTTCTAGCTATCTTTTATTTTGCTCTTTATTTATAAGTTGGCTTTCCTCATGTAAGATAAGCCATGTGGTGTTTAAGCTTTGTGCATCTGATTTATCTCAGTTATCATTATGGTCTCAAGGTGCATCCATTTTCCTTCAAGTGACTCAAATTTATCTTTCTTTATGGAAGACTATTACTCCATTTTGTGTAAATGCCACATTTTTTTTATCAGCACACATAGGCTGCTTCCAAGATTTACTATTATGAACTGTGCTGCTATAAACATGAGTGTGTGTGTATCAGTGTAATATGATGTCTTTAACTCTTTGGGGGAGCTACCTAGAAGGGCAATAGCTGAGTCAAATGGAATTTCTAGTTTATATTTTTCAGAAATCTCTATAATGATTTCCACAGTGGTTGTACTAATTTACATTCCTACCAATAATATAGAAGGATTCCCTTCTACCCACATCCTCACCAGCATTTGTTATTGTTTGATTTCTTAATGATGGTCACTCTTTTTGGGGTCAGATGGAATCTCAGTGCTGTTTTAATTTGCATTTGTCTAATGGCCAGTGATACAGAGAGTTACTTTATATTTATTGGCCATTTACACTTTTACGAAGTGTCTACCCATTTCAGTTGTCCATTTTTTGAGTGGATCTTTTATTTTGGGGGATCTAATATTTTTGTGGGTTTTTTTGTTTTGTTTTGTTTTTTGTTTTTTGTTTTTCTCCTGTACCGGGAACCAAACTCACAACCTTGCACTTGCCAGGCAGGCGCTTTTGCCGCTGAGCTAAATCCCCAGCCCCTAGATCTAATATTTTTGAGTTCGTTATATGCTCTACCTACTTGTTCTCTGTCTGGGAAAGAGCTAGCAAAAAATTGTTACCATTTGGTAGGGTTTCTTTTCACAGTGGTGATGATTTTTTTTTGCTGTGAGGAGGCTTTTTAACTTTGTATAATCCCATTTGCTAGCATTCTTCACAGAAATGGAGAAAACAAGCCCCACATTCACATGAAACCAGAAAGTACATGCAATCTTACAAATCCTGACATTAGCTGCAACAGTAACTGTTGCTAAATTGAAATACACCTTTAAGATTAAAACTTATGGTAAGAAAATATATTGAGGATGAGAAAAATACAGTGCCTGTAATAGTGAGAATCTCAGCTCAGGATGCAGATTAAACCATTCTCTTCGTAATATTTACAAATCCTAAAATGCAAGGACTCTTCAATGTTAATGTAAACCATGGATACTTTTCCTAACAAGATAATTTCATCTATTGTGTCAGGTAAACCTACAAAAGTGTAATCCATAAACATATATTGCTTTAGAGGCTCCCTGGCTTCCCATAAAATATAAGAGGGAAGGTGGGGAACCCCGCTTTTATAAACAGGAAACGCAAAGCAAGTTAGTCCCAAAAGAGCTCACGTTTCCAAAGTAGCTCAGTGCTCACCAGCTGCCTTCTTGCAGGAGACAGACCTTATCCTGACTTTCAACATTTCAATGCATCGATCCTGGTGGATGGAAAACGGGCCGGGATGCACGGTGACGTCTGTGACGCCTGCGCCTGACTGGGCCCCGGAGGACCATCGCTACATCACGGTGTCGGGATGCCTGCTGGAGTACCAGTACATAGAGGTGGCTCACAGCGCGCTCCAGCTCCTCCTCGCAGTAAGTGTCTCTGCCACCCACTCCTGTTACTTCTCTTGGCTGATTTCTGGGCCAGCTGAATGCACATAAATGGAATCTGCGGGGAAAGTCTGGTCATTCTGCTTTTTTCTAATTGATGTCACTTTGAATAGGAATTTATCGTGCTCAACCAAACAATTCTCTAGACCAAGGGTGCTAATTGTCTTCAGCAATCAGTAAATAGCCTTTGAAATCATCATCATTTTGCACAGGCAGTCAAGCCAGGCAATATGCGATTATGTGGCTTTTGGGGAGACTTTCCAAAAACTCCAGAGGGAAAATTGAAAGTTTTCCAAGCTAACTTTCTACGTACGTAAATGTAAAAGATCGCAGCAGGTATCTCCTCTCTCAGTTTCTTTGGCTGAGCTGCCAGTATAAAGATTTCTCTTCTCAGTTTGCCCTATCTCTTTTCTTCCCAGATTTCACCCAGGAATCATCCACTGCATTTTATCAACTCCCCTCCCTTCTCAGAACAATTCAGCTTTTCTATAGATTTTACTTTTAGCCTTTCACATCCTGTGTTTCAGAGTATTGTGCCAGTAAAGAACTCTCCTCCTACCAGGAGACAGTAGGAGTTATAAACAACAAACTCAAATACCATCTTATTGTTATATAATATAAATCATTTTACATTGTATTATTGGGATAAATAAAAACACCCATTTCTCAAGAGGAAATTTTATTAAGACTAAGTGTATTATAGTGTGAGATTAATATTATTAAGACAACTTTGTTACACTGTACATGAATCCATTTATTCATCAAAGATATAGAGCCAATTATACTTTTCTCAGATTCCATGTAGTTCTGCAATGAATGTGCATAGTCTGAAAATTGTCAGCAACTAATAATGCAAGCAGAATTGGCCTTTTACCTCTTTGCTCAGTTCATCCCTTTGGGAATGATATTAATTTACAATGGAATGACAAGAAAGAAGAAGTTTTGGATTGCATGGCACCAATTAGTTTACATAAAATTCTTCTAGTATAAAAAATAAATGTGTATCATAACATATACGTGTTATAAGTAGGCTATGCTAGTGAATACTTGCTGAATTTCTGTCCCTAAAATCATACAGGTTTGTTCCATATGCCAGCAGGAGGCACTCCGAACACTGTCACTCAGGGAACCAGGCTAGTGGTACAGCCACCAAGCCAGTCATCTTGTGGCCCCGGGCCTGAGAGCTGAGATCCCTGTGGAGAGTCCACATGGGCTCCTGATGAAAGAGAGGCTCAGTGTCCGTGCTTATCGTCCTGCACCTGCCACACCATCCCACCAGTCACAGAATGGCTAGGATGGAGGCAGAGCTACAGTATTTGCAGATTCACTTATGTAGTTTAGAATTATGTTCTGGCTAAGGCACTGAGCAATCTCCCACAAATGTGTTGAACCTGAGACACTTTTTGGAAAAAATAAAAATTTCTGTCATAGCTTTAAACTCAAGATATGTTCATTTTGCTTCTCTTACAATAAAGATATGTTAGGTCTGATGCCATGGAAGTAGCCATATTGTTCCTTAAAATCCATTTGAAATAATATTCACTCTCATATGGGATAAGTAAAACATTTCTGGGATTTGAAGACAGATAAAATGTCTTGATACAGATGCTACAAAGAAGAGTTTTTAAGCTACATTACTTTCTTTGGAAGTCTTTTTTAATCATACCTGCAACATTTTGGCAAGCTTCCACCTATTATTTCCAAGATAATGTGAAGGTATAGTTCATGTGTATGGATAGTTATACATGACTTTAGTGAGTTATTTGAATTCATGCATGTGTAACTATACTCACACATTTATTAAACCCACCTAAAATTTTGGCATATGAATTTGCAAAGAAATGCATTCAGAGGTAGAAGCATATGTTGGCGTGGCCATAGCACCCCAAGAAAAATATTCTTGCATAGATTAAAAAAAACTGTGCAAGCAAGCTGGCTTGACTGTCCCCCAGAACAGAGGCAGCCAACAATTATGATTACTGGTTATCAATTCTCTTGTCTACATCGCTGCCAATGTACTAAAAAAATAGTTTGAACAAACAGTCCCAGGATGTGGTACTTTTACCTCTTTCTGTGGATTTCTTTTGCACTTCTGACCACAGAACACCTGAGGAGAAGTTCCCTGCTGTGCACTGGAGTCATTCCTTGGAGAGGTTTCAACACACCGACTACCCTGGGCTGCTGTTGTCTGGCTAGCCTTGGGCTGAAAGTGCCTATGTACAAAAAGCTTAGTAAATCTTCACTGCAGTTTTACACTGCACAGCCAAGAGGGTTCATGTTGAACAATTCACTCTGCTTAGTTACTGGAAGCCTTCCAAAGATGTTGTCCCGTCACCATTCTGATCGCTTGTGCTGTAATGATTAATGAAGAAATAATATCTTGAATCTCTGCTCCTCCCCTTTTGGAACCTAGATCATGAGGTCCTGTGAATGCTTCCTGAGTACTGGTGCCTTGAGGCATCTAGAGAAACCAGAGTCAGGATCCCTGACCTTGAGGTTGTCTCAGTCCAACTGGAGCAAGGTTCCTGAGGGTGCCGGCCCAGTACAAACACATACATTTTCATGACTGGTCAAGGGGCGATATGGCTTGTGATACTGGGGAATAATCTTGGCTTCTTAGTTATATTCTGCTTTTTGTGAAGTCAGCTAAACGCTTATTTTCTTAGAGTCTTTGAAATTGCCCTTCCTCCCGGTATATCTGGCTTCCATCTACTTCCATCAAGGGCTGCTCTCTCAGTTATTGCTCTTGATTAACTCTAAATCTCTTCAGCCCCTTTCCCCACCTCCACTGAGATCTTCTTTCAGATTCCTGACTCCCCTGATTGCCTGTCACCCCATTGTTCCATTTTCTGCCAATCAGCTCCTACTTGACTTTGAAATTAGCATTCACAAAGCCCACATTTGCATGGCACATACATAGATATCTCCTATCCAGCGCCAAAGGAAGACAAGCATAATATCCGTATAACTGGTAGGAGGGGCTGTTAATCACACAGCCTCCAGCCTAGCAGAGAGCCCTGCCAGACCCCGTCATGATGATCCAGGTGTAAGGTTTCCACATGTTCCTCCCTGGGCAGCTTTTCCCTCTAGTTGGTATCAGATAGCATATGCAAAAGGCATGCAGGTGTGCACTGTTTTAATGACAACAAAAATGCACAAACCATATGTACAAAATATATTAAATGCATGTGGAAAAAGTGAGGAGATTGAGTAGGGAGATGATGTTGTTCATATTACAAAAGAATTAGTCAAATTTCTCAAGCAAGGTGTCATTGGAACTGCACAGATTAGACAACATGCTCGTGTGCGTTCAGTCTTTTAATTGAGCAGTAGTTGGGTGAAGGCGGCAGACCATACTACAAGCCCTTCTTAATGTGTGTAGCTAGTAAATGGGGACATGGGTATGCTCTCATACCAAAGATGGGACAGGATCTTCAGCCTGAATCCTGGCACAAGCTGATGGGCGATGGATGCCTGAGGTCTAAAGAGGCAGAGTTTATGTCTGGTTGATTAGCTTGGTCTGCCGCAAGTGAGGGGAATGGGTGTGTAGACGCCTTGCTTTTGTATACACACATTATGCTGCACTCCTTGTAACTAACTCAGTGAAGATACAGTGTGTTTTACAAATATATATATCAGTGGTGCTGAGAAAATTTTTATAACAATAAATGGAGCGGTGATATTTTTTGAAAAGTATGTTAAAATTCCAAATAATGCATTGGAAAACAAAACATTTCATCTCTCTTTTCTCCGGCCACATCCAGAGAATCAATATTTCTAAATTTAATGTAAACCTCGCCAACCAGGTTGCTCATTTTTGTTTTCATTTATTTCCTCTACTTGATTTCCTTTACTTCCGATACACTTCTAAATCCATGGCAGGTTGACTATTAATTGTTTTTGTAGCTACTAGCAGAGGATATTGGTAAAATGTAAATAAGCTTCCCATGTCCCACAGCCATTAGAGGTGACTTCGAAACCATGTACCAATTAGCAGGGAAGTCATAGAAGAGTTTAGAAAAAGTTCTAATACCCAGAGCATGTCTAAGAGCTAAAAGTAAGTTAGCTATCAATTTATCCTTCAGTTACATTTTTTCTGTGTTCAAAAACTCCATTTTTTGGAGAGTACATAGAATTATTGTTCAATAGATTGTGGTTTTTTTAAAAAGTGTGGTGAAAAAATGTGTGCTACAAATCAAGGAAGTTACAGGCATTCCACTTACTCCAGTTATTAGCACATCTGTCGGTATCTTGGTGTATCTTGGTACAACTTGCCTTGGAATACCGTCCTGGGGTAAAGACAGTTTCCTAACTTTGAGGCCCTTGATCCAAGTTGACTGCAGTGTGGGACGGGAGTGGCATGCGGGAGTTTCTTTACACGTGCTGTTGCGTGTGGTGCACACATGTGAGTGGCCTTGGGTATGCTTCTTTTCCATGATTCCTTGTCTGGAAACACATACAGTGATTTCATAGTTAGATATCTGCATCTGAATTTTCCTTTCGCCCAGGACATTGCAATTAAGAATGTAAATATTCCCTCCAAATTGTGAGCTTGTGTCACACCGAAGGGATGAGTGGGGAAATGCTATGGGCTGACACTCAGCTACTGCTATGTTCAGAGGTACTATGGTTGCCATGGAGACAGCCTGTGTTATACTTATTTAAGTTGAAAAATTAAGACAGATCTTTATTAAGAAAAAGCAAAGTTCGTTTGGTTGATTTGCATTCCACTGAAAAATGATTCAGCCGTTTAAATTATAGGTTACAGATTTTGCCTTTTTTCATAAACTTAGCTAGATCCATAGCTCCATACTTTGGTAAGAATAGACTTGAAGCACACAATTTTTTTAAATTAAGAAAAATACTGTATCCAGCAGGCGTGGTGGCACATGCCTGTAATCCCAGCACGCAGGAGGCTGAGGCAGGAGGATTGTTGTGAATTCGAGACTAGCCTGAGCTACAAAGTGAGCTTAAGGCCAGCC